GGGAAAACATCAAGGAAAACTTTGAAGAGAGGGTGTCCTTTGAATGGATTCTAGAATGTGTTCTCTAAACAAGAGTGGAGCAAAGAAAGCTAAAAAGTTTGTTTGATGATGAAAAATGCCCTGGCCTAATGGAGGAACTGACATTCTATTGATTTTGTGGAATGGGGAATATATGGGGTGGGGAACCTGTTACAGTAGAGATTGGAGAAGCCTTAGAGAGTGAAGCAAGGATCATGGTCTTGCATCTACACTTTAGCTGTTGCATCCTTTCCTTGCTTGTGTTAATACCCAGACTGCATATATGTATCTTATTCTTCTGACTTCTTGATAAATTATATGTTTGTATGCAGAATCTTCATATTTCAAAATATATTTTATTTGATATATAAAACTCTTTTGTAGTACTGGAGATGGAACTCAGAGCCTCATACTTGCCAGGCAGGTACTCTACCATTTGAGCCATGTCCTAGCCCTTTTTACTTAGGTTATTTTCAGATAGAATCTTGTGTTTTTGCTTGCATTGGCCTGAGACTGTGATTCTCCCACTTATACCTCCTACTTAGCTGGGATTACACACATGTACCATTATGCCCTGCTTGTTTGTTGACATGGAATCTCACTAACTTTTTTCCTGAGTGGGTCTAGAACCAGTATCCTTCCAATCTCTACTTCCCAAGTAGCTGGGATTGCAGGCATGAGCCACTGCTCCCAGTCTTGCTATGTAAAATATTTATATTTGTTATGAAGCTTAATATTTTTTAAAACCTGTCAATGCACTAATCAACTTTATGATTGAACTATTATGGAAATTACTGAAAGCACCCATGTTCACATTAGTAAATCATGTCAATGAGGCAAAACTGTACATGACAGCATCTCCAATGTCCTACAGCCTTACATTGGATCACTTATTAATGTGTGACAAAATTCATTTTAATTGAACAATATTTCCAGTAGTTCGCTATTTTGTGTAACTATTTGACTTAATTAAATAAAAAAATCAAAGATTCATAGACTATTAGATATTGAATGAAATTTAGAGATACTCTAGTCCAAATTGTATTACAAGCCATAAGCAACTCAAAATCCACCTAGACTGCAGAATTGTGATAAAGAAGGCTAGGCAAGTATGAACAATGAGTCCATCAAAATCACTGGCAGAGAGAAATGTCAGGTGGGTTCAGATGCAAGGCAGTAATATAAATAAATAAATATATATATATATATATATATAACCAAACAGACATTATTTACAGAATATCAAAGTTTGAAAAGTGATTGAATCAGTTTCATTTAGCAGATGTGAAAACTGAGTTATAAAGAAGTTAACTTATTGAAGATCAGACATTTCAATAATACCAGACCTATTAGAAGAAATATGCTTATTGAACAATTCTCATATTGAAGAAGATACTGGAGTAAGTGTGAGGGGAATACATTTGTCTAAAACAGGAAAGAAGCAATCTGTTCTATTGGTAAGAGGCAGTATATGCAGATATGCATATTTCATGGTGTGTGTATGTATATCCTTGTGCATGGTATATGTGTTTGAATGTCTTTGTGTGATTTGTCTTTTGTGACTAAAGGATTGAGGAATGGGTTGAGACTGATGGTCCACACTTGCAAGACTAAATAATGTGTATTATATCCTCTCTGAAATAGGGAAAGAGTAGATAATTTTAGGCAGGAGAAGTACATGAATAAACTTGTTTATTAGAATGTCAGTAGCAGTGGATAATTATCTGGAGAAAGAGAATGAAGAATTGTGGAAGCCAGTTAGGACCATACACTGAACAGGACAGATGGAAAGCCTTTCCTATGCAGTATCTGCTGGGATTGATAAACGCACATTAGCTAAAATATACAAAATAGAAAGGTATAAGTATTAGTAGACCATTTGCTTTTGTATTCACCCCTGTCAACGACTCTCAAGTATCTTCAGATAACTTATTTCTCCTCATGTGTTTTTTATTTGATAAATGAAGTGTACCTCCAGAAGCATCAGCAAAAAAAAGCACAAGTCAAGGACAGAGAGAACAACTGGCCCTGGACTTCTAAGGTTTCACTGACCCACATGCCACAGAAAGTACTGTGTGAACTTAAGCATGTGTATTGAAAATCAGTCACCATCTTCCTGTTGGCTGGCAGAGATGAACCACATTAGCATGAAAGGGACAATTCAGGGTGAACTTGGAAGAGGAATTAGTTTTTAATCTTATAAATAAATAGAAGTGACCCCTTAGCACCTTACCTTCCATGGTTATGTTAGCATTCTGGTCTTTGAATGAAAATGTGTTCTCAGTAGCAGGGAAAACTAGGTGATTAAGGGTTGTAAGTTTTTCTGAGTTAGATTTGAAAATCTCAGTCAACCATAATGAGCCATAAAAACTCAAAGCATGTGCAGTTAGACCTACAGTTGGCTCTCAGCTCTGCTGTTTGTTATAATATCATCTCTCTGGAACTCATTTTCTTCATTGAAAGCACAAGCATAATTAAACCAACCTTATTCACTTGTGGTTGAAGTAAAATGACATAGTGTTTGTGAGTATGTTTACCACAGGGTGAAAGGAATATAACAACAACAAAAAAATAAGTAGTGTTAAATTGTGATTTAAGATACTTGATTCTGAAGTTGGGGCCATCTGGGTTTTAATTCAGGTGTCAATAGCAACACTTAGCTAGGTTTCTTCATCTATATAAAGTATAAATTAAAGTAATACCATATAGGATTTGTGTGTGTGCTTTCCAAGGCATTCAGAGAAGTATTCCTTCTAGATAGTACTCACCGTCTATTTAAATGTCCACTTTGGTTTTCCCTACCTATACAGATCCTCTACATCTTTGAATGCAGTGTAACATTGCTGGCTCAGAAGTGTACAGTTAAATGAACTGATGCTAAATGGTGGTGTTTGAAGTGCTACAATTGATTTCCTATTCCTAATTTCAGGACTTTGTGCATATTCTTGCAAATTTTTGCTATGAATAGTTTAGCTCATGGTCAATAATAGATTGTTCACTCAACTTGCTGAAAGTGGGGCATTAAAAAAAGAAATATGGCACTGTTTATAGCTGAAGGTATTAGAACAAATTTGTGTCTGCTATCTTGAGATTTTTGCAAGAACATGTCTTGATTATTTTTAAAATAAATAAAATGTTTGAAAAGTAATAAGTTTGAGTCCTGAGCTAAGTTTACATGCTTAGTGACTACTATGAACTTAACAGTAGCCCGATTTCTGATTTCATTCCTGTTTAAAATTTGGCATCACCCTCTCTTCTCAGTGTATTTCTTAGGAATTCCCAGATATACTACAAAGAAAGTTCTGGAAATTTTCATTTTTCTTTCTTTTCTTTGAGTCATTTCTATCTCTTGATAGCCCTTCCCAACAAATTCAGCTGGCAAACTACTACTCATTCTTTAGGACTTTATAACATGCCTTCAGAAACCTCCCGAGAACTGTTGCTTCTTGTCTGTTTCCTGGTAGACTTCCCAGTGTATTGCTTGATTGCAAGAGACTGAAAAGCCTTGATTTAAAAAGGGAGGCACAGAGGAAATGTATTGACTCACAAAACTTAGGCAAAAGTTAAAACTATGAAACCACATGAAGGGCGATGACAGCTTAAGTTCAAGAAGGTCCAGGTCCTGCCGCCCAGACTTTCTCCTTATAACTTATCTTAGTTTTTCTCTCTCTGTTACCTTTCTGCTCTTTTTACCTTAAAGTGATCTTCTTCACAAATTGAGAAATATAGCTCCTGATGGTGTCTAAGCTTTGAATCTTTCATCATCTGCCACCAGGAAGAAAGAATGATCCCTTTTCTCAGAAACAGCTTGAAAAATTCCAGGGAAGTACTATAACTTAGCCACCATTGGACTTACCAGTTGTGTGGCTGAGGGACAAAATACTATGATTACCTTGGATTAGGTGTAATCACTATAAACAGACCAGACTACTGGTAATCAGTTATCTGAAAACATACATGAAGATCTACATGTCAGGATATATGCAGGTGCAATTTTCAGGGGAGGGACGTAGACAGGCTATAGAATTAGCTGAAGTACCCATCAACAGATAAATGGATAAAGAAAATATGCTTCATGTACACAATGGAATCTTACTTAGTCACTAAGAGGAATGAAATTATGTAGTTTATAGGAAATTGGATGGAACTGGAGATCATCATGATAATTAAAATAGTCACACAAAACAAATATTGCATGTTTTCTGTCATTTGTGGAAACTAGGGCAAAACAAAATAAAACAAAACAAAAACCAAGGTCATGAAAGTAAAATGGGGACTACTAGGGAGGTGGAATGGGAAAGGGAAAGGAGGAGGGAGGATGAGAAGATAAGAAGGAGAAATAGAGGGGATAATATAATCAAAATACATTATATGCATGTATAGAAATTTCATACTGAAACCCTTCCACTATGTACTATTAATATATATCAAAAATCCTATAGCTATTCATTTTTACTGATTTATTTATAACTATCTCCACAGGTAAACTGTGAAGTCCCCAGGACTTTATTGTAAGACAGTGACTTTGTCTCCTTTTCCAGAGACTAAAAATGCATTAAGTCTGAAACACAAAAAGACCTGAATATATATTATGTGGAAAAATAACCTTTGTTTAGCAGCATACTTAATATGTATAACCTAAGTAACTTATACTACTATTGTTAGTATAGTCTTTTCAGTGTTCACCACTTTGGGTAGTCAGTCTTCATAGATAAATCTAGAAAAACTAAAAACAATTCAAATATTTTAAGAATTATATTCACTTAAAAAAGTAGACAAATAATATTTACATATGTGGATAATTTAATAGTATGCATTTGTCTCCAACAGGATCTTTGAATTGAATCACCAGCATTTTTGTTCCAGTTACAAAGTAATGTGATAAATACTTTTAGTAATGCTTTCAGATTGTATTCATACTATCAAATATCTTTGGTAGCTAGCTAAGTAGATGGATTTGCCTTTCAAAACAATTTGCACCTCTATGTCCCTGATACTATGTCTCTTCTGCATTCATTCTTGGCTCTGTGATGTTTCTGAAGACTTGAATTCTGTTCTCTTTCAGTTTGCCTCCTGCAGGCAGGGGCACATTCAGAAAGACTTCTCATTTGCCTTATATCATCCAGATCCCACAATTCATCACTGAATTTCTCCTTGGTTTGCATATCTGTAAATTGGCATTTGGTTTTTTTCTGCCTAACTGCTCTGGTTCTTCTCACTCTAGGAAACATGTTCTTTTGCTTCATCTCCTGTTTACTTGGGTTTCTGTGTTTCTCAGTCTGTAGGCCTGTGAGGCTGCCACAGTGGCTTCTGGTTTGGGAAGCCCCTTCATCTTTAGAATGCCAGTTGGGCCTCTTCCTAGTAGTTGAAGGAAGCTTCACAAATTGGAGTGGGGACAAAGATGCCCTCTCATAGTTTGACCCTTGGCCATACACATTTTCTTTTGAAGGCTCACAACATAACTGGGTTAAGCGTTCCCTTCTGTGACTACCACTCAGATTAAGATTACTCAAATCTCTGCTTACAGATCTCTTTCTAGGTCCAACACACCAGGATTTGGATCTGTAAGAAGTGGATCTTGATCGCCTTCGGGTTCTTCCACTGGACTGTGAGCCAATTTCTACAAATTGGAGAGACTCTCTGCTCTTTGTCCTCTTTTTTCTGTAAGAACTCAACTTTCTACCATCTTTCTTAGGAGAAAGGGCATTTTCTGAGATACAACTCCAAGAGGGGTCTCTCTCTCTGGATTTGCAACTTACCAAGGATCTTCCTCTGGGCAATCTTTGAAAAAAATTTGGTGATTCTGAATGTTTGTTTTTTTCTGCTTCTTTTGCCTGGAAATGTATCTTCTTGCCACTGTTCAAAGGCCTTTCTTCTCTTAGATCATATTTCTGAGGTTGCACCTGATTTGAAATTGCTGGGTTCCTGAATGTGCAGACAGTTGTTTCACTCATTTGCAGATCCTGGACATAACCAGGAAGTAACTTTATCTCTTCTGTCTTTTCCTCTTGAGCATATTTTTTGCAATTCAGTACACCTGGACCTCTTTCCTTTGGTGGAGACCTATTCAGGAGAATATTATTACTAGAAACTGTACTTTTGTGATCATCTGATTCTGGCTTGTCTTTGGTCGAAACATGGATTTTGCTTGCTGTTTTATGATGGGCTAGTGGGATTTTAGATTTTTTCAAAGCAGAGTTACTATTTGAAAACTGCTTCAAGTCAGACTGAGGCCTCTCCTCATTATCCCATTGAACCTGGGTATCATTAGAGTGCTCTGTGTCATGCTGAGATGTGGCTGCAGCATAGTTCTTAAGCAGAACTGGAGCTGAAACAATGGACTTGTTTCTCACCCATGTTGAAGCAGAAGGACATTGATAGATGGCTCGCCGGTCATAGGTTTCCATGTTATAAGGTGAATGAACAAAACTGATAAACTCATGCAGGAAGTGGTGGGTATGTTGTAGGAGATAGGGCTCCAGAAGGTGAATGAAGGATTCACTGTCTAAATCATATTCTTTCATGAGATGGAGGATGGCATCTAGAATATTTTTCACTGTGTAGCCATAATCTCCATAAACAGCTGTTAGTTCCCGTTTCAGCCAAGGAACCAGCCGATGTAGGCTACCTGGATTTTTTTTGAAATAATTAGCTGAAAAGTGCTTTTCAAGTCTGTAGCCTCGGACGTATTTCACCCAGATTCCAGAGTAATAGAGAGCTCGCCTGAACTTCATAACCACCTGATCTCTAAAGTGTCCCAAGGACATGGAGTTTGGCCGGAACTTCCCAGTAACCCCAAACTCCCTCAGTAAGTCTTGGATTGTCAGCTCTCCCAATGGCCTGATTTTCTTTTTGATATCGTCAGGGCTCAGACTGTGAAAACTTTTTTGAGAAAACCCCACATAGCTTTCCTCCTCTGAGGGAACAAACACTAAATCTTCCTTGTGGTTATTCTCCAGTCTGGGAGAATAACATTGAGAAAGAAATTGCTCTGTGCTGGGAGAAGGCATGGATTTCTTCCTTGATCTAGAATGCAAAGAGCCATTACTTCTGTTGCTGGAATCAAGATTCCAGTCAGTGTCACTGTGAACACCCTCCAAACAGTTAGGACACTCACAGTCAGATGACAGATCTACTGCCATTGCCCTGAGCAGACTATATTTCAGAGCTGAATTTGAGAACAATTGCTTCAAATCAATTCTTCATCTTACAAGAAAAATATCTATTAACAACATCCCATGCATATTTTAGCATGTTCTATCTCCATGGAATTAGTGCTAAGAAACAAGCTATTTATCAAATTAATAATGAAGTGCACATAAAACTCAATGTATATAAAACAATGAGGAAACAGGCACACTGATTTTCTCTTTTTCAAAATTGTTGTTCCAAACTCTGAAAAGAAAATTGGAAATGAACATTAAAATTTAAATATCATATTCTTTGACCTAGCAATTCTGACTCTATAGATTTAGCCTAATATACAAATAACCAAAATATGTAGTCGATCATTTTTTTCTGGTAATAACAAAAAAAACCTGAAAACAACCTAAATATCCATCATTAATGGGTGTATTAAAAAATGATGTATCATCCATAGTATGTAATATTAGATCGCAATTCAAAAGAAGGCAAACCTATTCATACTAATAAAAGAAGATGATTGAATATATTGTTAAATGAAAACTAAGTTTCATTTACATAGAAGTATGAAAGACTATTATAAACTCTTGGTGAGCTGTGCATGGTAGCACATGCCTCTAATTCCAGCACTAAGTAGGCAAAGGAGGAGGCAAGTTCATGCCAGCCTGGAATACGTAGCAAGATCTAGTCTCAAACAAACAACAAGAAAAACCCTTAGAGAATAACTATTAATTTCTGGTATCATTGTGAACTACTAAACACAGTGAAAAATTCTCCCATAGGGAAAGCAAAATATAGCTATAATATATACATTAAAAAATATATATCATATAACAAAATTCTCATAACTGAAAAACATTACAGATAAGAATGCAGAGAATAAATGAGCCGCCCACACCTAGTGTTCATTCTGCAGATGACAGGGGACAATAAATGGACTCTATTCAGATCAGATATCCAATAAGAGACTTCTTCATAAATTTGTGTGTTAAAATATTTAATTCTCACCCCAAAAAAAGTAAATTAGAAAAATAAGGCCACCCCCATAGGAGTCAGCAAGGAATCTTAGCAAATATTTTGTAACTTGACACAAGTATGTCTATACATTAAGTTCAAGCAGTATTTTGCTAAAAATGTCTAAAGTCTTATTTATTTTGAGTTTTATAGTGACCCCAGGCAATTGGTGAAGGAAAATCCAAATTCTTGACAGAGTAGTTCAATTTATACCCAGGTCTCATGACAAATTTTCCATAAACTGAGTTCTCAATGAAAAATCATTTACAAACAAGAACTAGACCATCGTTGGCCTGAGTCCACAGAAATTGTAGGCAACAAATGAGGCTTCTAAGACAATCTGGATATGTATAAGTCAGATGTGGTCAAAGAAAGAAAATGGTTTTGAAAGTATTACCCAGAAACTTCTACAAAATATGGCCAGAGTGATTTGAAACATAAGCCAAATAGGATTTTGAGAAATAAAAATTGTAAGTAATAAAATTTTAAAATGCGTGGATTAAATAAACAACAGAATAAACAGAGTTCTTTAGTGTGCTATAATAGAGATCTAAACAAATTACATAGACTGCAACACAGAGACACACAGAGATAGAACTCTGGAAGACAGATTAAAGACAATAAGAATGAAATGAGAAAGCTTAAGATTCTTAGAAATAATAGAATTAATGAAAGGCAATATTCAAAGAGATATGTATAGCAAACTTTCCAGAATGTGTAAAATATGAAAATAATCAGTTTCAGAATTACAATGAAATTGTAACTAAATGAAAAGAAATCCACATCAAAATACTTCAAAGTGAAATTGCAGTATACTAAAGATGAAATGACTTTTCAATTGCTATTATGCAAGCCAGAAAAAAAAGGTGACCATATCTTCAAAGTATTGATTGAAACAAAGTTTTTCACTCTGCAATTATGTAATCAATACAAGTGGCTTTCAAGAATTAGGTCAAAATTTGATAGAATTTGAGAAAAAACATTTGAGAGAAACTAAAACCTGAAAAAGTTAAATACTGACCAACCTCTAAATGTGCAAAAGATGTAGCTAAGGAAGAAAATGACTCAAAAATGACTAGAAAATATGTTTGAGGTAGATGACAGAATGGTGAGCAAAAACTGGTAAACTGATGGATCCATCTAAGCAGTCTATAGAACAATATTATAAATGTCTGTATTGTGAGATTAAAATTAAACAAATCTTTAACACAAAAAAGAATAGTGTGAAAGGTGAAAGGATGAATAGCTGAACCCAAAATATTCTAACGTTTTCATTTCATTTGGAAAGTGGAGATATTTATTTAGACACAGTTAAATAGCTATGTTAAAATGTCCATTGTGACCACTAAAATAATAAGAGTGAACTGCATACAAACTTGAAAGGGGAAAAAAAAAGACTTAAAAAAGAATTAATCAGATTCAATGTAAAAATAATTTTAAAATAAGCAAGAAGGTAAAAAGATGATCATAATATTTTATCTTATATATATTTAAAAATAATATAAAATTTCAATGCATTATTATGGAGGAAATTTATTTGTAAAGAAAGAAATAGAAATTGTAAACCTATAATTGAAGAGAATCGAAGATAGTGTTTAATATAAGGTGTTGGAGGAGGAGAGAAATGATGTCAAGAGAAGTCCAGAGGTCATCAGAGGGTATTGGATACATTTTGCTCCCTAGTCTGGTAGTGAGTACTAAGCATTCACTTTATTATAATTATTTATATAATGTACATATATTATACATCTTTAGTATTAATTGCTACTTGATTAAAATCCTAATTCAAAAAAGACAGACATAAATAACAGAAGTTTGCATATAAATAAAAAAAAATTCTGGGCAGACAGAAAAGGAATGTTAATACTGTATCAGATAGTGGAATTTGGTGTAAGGGCTAGAAAAAAAGTCTTGGTAGCTTCCAAGTTATAGTGCTTAATGTTTTAGACCATGAATATGTATTTTTTTCTAATTACAAAACTAATTGAAAATAAAATCATATATCTTAACATAAACCAAATTGTGCTAAATGCACTAGTTTTTTAAAAAAATTGTACCACAAAATCATAGTGTACTCATTTTGAGCATTTTAGAACGAAATGTTTGATGAAAAAGGGCCCACCCAAATTTTTAGTGGTGAATATTTGTCAGTCTGACTTCTCATTATCTTTGACATTTTTCAATGACGGAATCTAGTTTACTAAGCTCATAAAATCCTACAGCTGGAAGGAATTTCGGAGATCACGTTTCATGATTTTCTATACTTTTGAAAGTAAATAACTCATCTAGTAAAAGCATACATGGGAGTACAATGTGTTGCATGGGCACAGTGGTTCATTCCTGTAATTCTAGATACTCAGAAAGCAGAGCGAAGAGAATCATAAATTCAAAGCCAGCCTGTGCAAAATTTGTGAAATTTGATCTCAAATACAAAATACGAAGGGCCAGAAATGTGTGGTCAAGGTCCTGGGTTAAAATCACCAGTGCCACACACAAACAAAAAAATGCACCATGTTAAACATAACTTACCCTGTGTCAACCTCTCACCCTCCTCAGCACTGCACATCATCTGCGACTCTCAAATATGGTTCTAAGAATTCCTCCCATCACCATAAAGATCAAGTTTGCATAACTATTGTCTGCTCCATGTCCAATTAGTGCAGAAATCCCTCATGTAATCCTGCAGTGGATTGTTACCTGCTTGCTGCTCCAACACTTCCTCACAGGGTTTTGTTCTCTAAGACACAGCTCATTCCGCTTCACTGCTCACTCCCACTTAGTAAGGGTAAAAGAAGGTTTTTCTTGCTTCTAGATAAAATCTTTCATGGTATAACTTAAAAATATTAGTCTTAATAATAACTTAATGCCCTAAGTCTAATTTCCCTCCACCCCCTACATGGTCCTCTCCTCTGACCCTATCAATGAGGCTCTCTATCCTGGCTCTTCAATTTAAAACTCCCTTGAGAACTCTCCCATCTGGGCTCCTTCACATGACAGGTGAATCCATGGACCAAGGGATTTTTGTGTCATCCCCATGAATGATGCTCTTGGTTCCTAGGACTTAGTTTCCTGCCCAAACAATTCTTCCAGATGCTGCAAAAGCTTAGATCTATGCTCACAGTCAAGGACAGACCACAGGCCAAAGTACACAAACCTAGACTCAAGGGGTGAACAAGAGGCTGGTGGATAGAATTTGTGCATGGAGACTAGGGTACCAGAGGCTACTTATGGTGCCAGACGGCAGAGGAAAGGAACATGATGGTGAGGGGGTTCTCCATTTTTATACTTACTCTTCACACACAAATATTAGGAACTAGCCCATTTACAAGATTTAATGTTTTGAAACTTCTCATTTCTATTCTCTTCAAGCTCATTTCCATCCAGTTCTGAATACTACCTGCTTACTCAATTAAAATAGCCTGCTTGTGTCTAGAGCCATCCAAGTTACACACTATAAGCTATTTGTATTACTTTTAAAATAAATATAGCCCAGTGCTTAACTTTCATTTCTTTTGTTGAGGTTTCAAGCCATCCTTTCCAGAGGTAGTGTTTTCACCAAGTCTTTATTCACCTTGAAAAGAAGAAATGATAGAAATCACATTACTTACCAAATTTGCCTACAGAAGAGTTAGAGTGCCTGCACTCATTCAAGCCTCAGCTGCTGGATTAATTTGGTTTCAGTGGATAATTACTGTTTTGTTTGCCTTAGAAACAGAACTTAGAACACAGGACAAGTTCTGTTATGGACTGGAGAAAAAGATACAGCACCATGTTTTCCATGAAGCTTGGTATCTCTATTTCCCAGCAGTATCCCAAGTGACTTTAAGATGTAGTGAGTGAATAAGATAATTTAAATCCATGATGTGGAGGTGGTCAGAATCCTTGCATGTTCTAATAGATCAGAGCCAATACTCTTAACAAGTGGTCTGACTCAGAAGAAAGCAGGAGTGCTAGGAAGAATACAGCTTTTCCTGATGAATGAATT